CTGAAAGTGACCCACCCTGTTTGAACTCTTGCTTGACCAGGTGTTATGGTGTCCTGCGTTACTATTATTATTATTATTTTGTGTATGATGGAATTGATGCAATTGAATATCGACACATTTATATTCATCTGATACACATAATAACATTCTAAAACAACTATTCTTGGAAAGAGGTTTGCATTTATATTGTTGATTAATGAATGAAGTATGTGACACTATTGCATTGATTTCACTTTTTAGTTGAATGAAAATATTTCTGCTAGTGCAAGCATGATGTCAATTAATTATTTATGCAGTAATTCCATTCAAGAATTAACGTATAATTAATACATACTATAAAGTTCAGAAGATAAAAACTAGTTTAGAATTGTTTGAAATAATTCAATGGAACGTGACTCGTATCTCAACGATATATTTATGTATCATGAGTATATGGTACACGAGTTGCCACTTATAAATTAAAAATCTTCAGTAATAATTTCAATTTCTTTCTCATTTATATAGAGTGGCCCGTTTGAAATGGAGTTACTATGATAAAACGTATATTCCTCTACTAGTTCGATTTTATTTATCAGGTAGATTCAAGAAGTCTACTAAAATACCTAATTTCATGAATGAGTCTGATTTCAAAATCAGATAAATCACAAAAATGGATTAACAGAGAACCTGATGAATCTGAACGGAATTCTTGGATAATATTTTTGGATATGACATCTGAACGTCTCACGAAAGAATACTTTCTTTAGAAACGTCAGATTTCAGCTGAGTATCGGAACGTTTGTTTTTCATAATGCAGGGTGTTTCAGATTCGATTCTCACCATTGGGATCTCAGAAACTATGAGAGAGAAACGAAGATGGTTAAATTAGGGGAAAGTTGCGCATTCACGTGATTAACAACATGTTGTTGAGAAAATTCTGAAATTCCGAGTATATCCGGAAAAAACTGAAATTTCGGAAAATTGTTTTTATTTTTTGTGGCTTTATGTTTCGAAGAACTTGAAAATAAATTGCACTTCCACATTACCACTTCTTCCCTGATACATAATGGTGATTTCAGATTTGCTATCCGACGTTTCGTCTTCCGGCCATTATCATCAACTTTATTTTTTCTTATGGGCACTATATTGGATTCTTTCTGTTTGGAATATAACTAGATTTTACGTTTTCAATAATGTATCATAAGTTGTCATTCTTTTTGGAAACATTGGAGATATTGAAAAAATTAATTCTTTTCATAATTCGTTAGTCTAGATGTTGATGTTATTCAATATTTGTTGTTATTGTTACATAATTAGTGATGAAGAATTGTGAAAATCATGATTTCCAAAAGAAACATTTGATTTCGCATATTATTCCATGTGAAGTCCAGGGATATGCAATTGGGTCAACTTTTTTTTCTTAAAAGCCAAGCAAGATACGAAAAAATTCAGGAGACGAAAAAGTTGTATTTCTGATTATTTAATCCGAAGAATTATTAAAAATTGCACAAAAGTCAGTGGCGTACATTTTTGAGTCAAAAAATATTCGTTCAAATCCCGCTCGAGACGCCACTGGACTCAATAAATTGAATCACGTTCGGGCTAAATTAGCTCCTTGATGTTATAATCACCATTGTCAAATTACAACGAAATTAGGTGAATTATATTCAAGACATTTACGAATAACTTTTTTTTTTCATTTCAACACCCTGTATTTTGAGAACGAAGGATTTGCGGACCCATGTTTATATGAACATTTCGTCTCAAAATAATCTAAAGAATTGTCTGCTGAATTTAGGGTACATACTTAATCAACACCCTGTATTGAAATTAATTGCTTTTCGTGGGTCTCGCTAAAAACTCTAGAACGACTAGACCGATTTGGCTAATTTTGGTTTTGAATTGTTTGTGGAAGTCCAGGAAAGGTTTAAAAGATGAGAAAATATAGAAAAGAGAATCCGAAAAATTATGATAATAATAATAATAAAAGAACTCAAGAAAGGCTCGACCAATTTTTATGATTTTTGTGTTTTTGGATTCGTCGTCATCGGGAATAGGATTGAAAGTATTGAAATAGGATAATGGTGTAACTTAGAAGTAAATTGAGAGTTACTAACTATTTGGAACCTTTGGTGTAGTAATGAATATTACTGGAGTTTTTTCTCAACACCAACTCGTTATTTTCAACACCTTGTGTTAACACCTTCTGTTAAAAATAACAATTTGGTGTTGGGAAAAAACTCCAGTAACTCGTAACTCTCAGTCGTTACTCTCAGTTATGCTTGAAGAAGCTATTGTATAGCGAAACACGTGTCGCGGTTTTTGTAAAACCCTTATAGTGAAAATCATACAATAAACTGTATTGTTTAGTTTTTTTCATTAAGGAAAATGAAACAACTGACCTACTTGTAAGAAATGCTACAAATAGTGAAGTACAAACATAATTATCCAATCCGATTTCAAAAAAATCATGAGGAACATTCTGTTGAAATAGTTCAGACTTTTGCGGCTGAGGTTTTCAGTGTCACTGTTTTTCGAGTTTGAAAGCCGTGGATTTTTGGAATTCCTTTATGAAGTTTCGTTGGCTTCTTTAAAGGTTTAACCATCATGGCTTGCTGTCCGATGACCTGTCATCGAAAGCGAAACGTCAGGAATAAATTCCAAAAATCCACGGCTTTCAAAGTCAAACAACAGTGACACTGAACATTCTGATAAATAGCTGGCAACAACAAAGGGACATCAATGGGTCAAAGCTGAAGGAAATAAAACCATCAGTAAAACAATGGGAATACATCCCAATGCCTAAGAAACATCATTTCATCCTCACAAGACTACGTATAGGACACACAAGGTTTACCCATGGACACATCATATACAAAAAAGAGGATCCACACTGTGATATTTACCAGACAAAATTACTGTTAGGTAAGCACATTCTCTGAGAATGCCCAGCAAAGAGAGGACAATAACATCCCAGAGAATATCATCCCGCGAATGCAGTGCAGCCGAAAATGTGGTGAACTTTCCAAAACAAACCAATCTCCTAAACAAAATTTAGTTCCGTTACGCAGTATCAATGCATTAACTATCAATAATGATGTCTTCAATAACTGTGAAAGTTGATGAGACAATGAATAAAGCTATTAAAAAAAACATCAATTGTAACTTCACCTGGTAGATAACCGTTATTGTAGAATGAGACAAGAAGAAAATAAGAATTGAAAGGGTTATATTTTTAGGAGTGATTAATTTTTGGGAAAGAAAGTTTTTGGCTTTCTACTACTCCATCTGATACAAAAAAATGAATGAGAGAATCTTCCAAAGAAAGGAAGGAAGTGATCAATTTGAAAATAAGTAACTCTATACATGGATGT